AGCACGTTTGCTTAGCACGGGCTAAAGAATTTGACCTCTTAGCCCATGCTAAGGAGCTGTGCGTGAACGCAACTTATATAGCACGACTGCCAATCATTTTGTGCGTTGTTTACTCAAGTTTTAACTTCTGATCAGTACTCGCATATATCTTACATTTTAATTACTTTTGAACATTCTTCTCACTTTATTTTCGATGGTGTTTTACTGATCTTGCCTAATTATTAGCTGTACGTTCACGTGTCGTCTGTCAATCATGGCAATGAAATAAATAGCTGTGGAGAAATACTAGTACATGTACATAGCATATCGGTTCAACGAATCGACTTGTGGGATGAATTGACTTTGGGACGAATAAACTTGTCTCACTAATCGACCTATCGGTCGACTCGACCGTCCACTATCACACTCCTCCACACTACCTTATTTTATAGGAACTTGTGACCCCAAATTTAAATAATGACGATGTGATTTTTTAGCTGACACTTGTTCGTCATGTGACCCTAGCTTACTCCCAAATGGTTAGGAAACTTGTAACTGTATTGAAGCCTGGTTAGAACGATCGTTAGCACATTCTCAACACTACTGCAAATATAGGGCACAGTCCCTCCAAACAGAGTCTATATAGCAGAGTTACTGTGTATAGGGGCAGCGAAAAAATAGTGAAAATTATAAGGCGTGTATGATACCCCAGTATTTCGGTACTACGTCATTCAGTGTTGATTACGATCTGAGTCGGGGTAACAAAATAATTCATTTCTATTGACATGAACAGTGTCTACACATCCCAATTTCAATAAGTAACAGAAGCACTTCGTCGGTAGAGGGCGTGGCTAAATCGAAAAAGGTGCATAAAAAATCGTCACGAAATTTCAACGTAAAATATTCAGCAAATCGTTTCAACGTGGTAAGGGATTTCTGAACGGCAGCAAAACCGTGCGCACGGACGATAGGAACGATTTTGCATCGCGTTATTTTGGTTCTACCATGGACCTACCAAGGTCCATGGTAGTTTGTTTTGAAGGAGTCCCCTTCCTCTTTATCTCTTGTAATGACACATACATTATCAATAATGACTCCAGTACAACTAGTATTAGTATAAGCTACTCAAATTAATATTTAAATAAATCTAGAACTGCAAGATTTCGAGATAATTTCTGTTTGATAAACTATTACATTTTCGTCATTTCTTCAACTCCTTACTGTATCTCAAAATACCGGCAGGTGGTTTGGTCGAGGATTCCCTCCAACGATATGCGCTCTTGGACTCTGTTACATTCCTTCTTTCCGGCGACTTCACCATCCTCATTACGTCCCAGACACGATCTCGCGTGAGGGCCGGTAAATTCATTCGTAATCCAGGGCGAGGTCTGATGATAGTTGACGGTCTATGATACCTGTGGTGAGTCGGCGGAGATATATTGCCTTGCAACGTGTCCTGTTCAGTTGGTCTGAAGCCGTCACGATCCCGAAAGTACCATTTATTGGTCGTCATGGTAGCAGCGTGCCGGTGTCGTGGATCATAGTCTTTGCGGGCGATCACCACCGAGTCACGCGTATGAGCACACTTCACGGCTTTCATTGAGTCTTGTCTGGACGTCGCTAAGTTTAAGAGTGTGTCATTACCATAGTTAATAAAGTCTCGTTTATGTGTTGTGCATTCCACCATTGGGTTGTGTTGCTTGGGAATCACCTGTAATATAAAAAAAGACAGATATAGGCACTGCGATTTTGTTGACTAATACTCCATGGCACCAATTATACGTTGTATGTATCTGTGTCAGTCATAAACTCGTAATAATTTAACGTTTTCTCTTGTCAATTAATATATATATTATTCGAAATAAAGCGTTTTTAAACGCAATACAACTTGGATGAAATGAACAACTTGCATCACTGGTACACAATCACACAGCCACCGCCTTTCATTATTCCCCGTATGCTAGTAATATTAGTTGAATATTTCCTTAAGTTTGTTTACAAATGCGAGTGGAGAGCATACATGGAGGAGAGGGAAAATGCATTCACAAATATTCAATCGTGCATTCTTACCTCTGCTGGCTCTGGTGGTGGAAACGGTGGATCTGGACCAGCCGTCAAATATCGTTTAGTCACGATATAATCTGTGTAGTAACTAGTGCATGGTTTGCCTTTATCGCTTCCAAGTTGAAAGCTCGTCTTGAACGTTTTGTATGTTTTACCCTTGTCATCCATGGTCGATGTTTTCCGACCATTGACAACTAAAAAAACAGTTTTTGTTCGGTTCAGGACGGTCTTGTACTTGTATGCAAAGATGCTACTACGTCATAATTCCAACAATAGTGCGCGTCGGTGTATCCCATGATGCCGTTCGACGACGCGACGCTTTGCAGGGTAGTCGTATTTTCGATTAGTAATATGTTTGCTTACACGTCTTCTTGTTCATTCAATAATTGTAAGTTGTATAGTGAGAATTGTGGAGACTGTTAGTCTGTCCTAATTAGACACCCACTACTGTTGCCACACCCACAGTTATTTCAACCAATCACATCCCGGTGTTACTATTAGTAGTTTGTTTGTTGTTTCATTGTAACTTGCATGTAATCTAGTGAAGCGAATAAACAGTTGAGTTATTGTTACCGCACGGTAAACTTGTCGTCTCGATCTCTCTATTCCGGGTTTCTACCGATTCAACTCACGTGCCCATGCGCACA